TTTTGTTTTATTTATTTTTTGGACCAGATCTCATTTAGTCACTCAGATGGGAGGGCAGTGGGACAGTCTCAGCTCACTATGGCCTCGATCTCTCATGCTCAAGAATCCTCCCATGTCAGCCTCCTGAGTACCTGGAACTATAGGCGCACACCACCATGCCCAGCTAGTTTTTTATATTTTTTGTAAAGGCGGGGTTTTGCCATATTGCCCAGACTGGTTTCAAACTCCTGGGTTCATACAATCCACCTGCCTCGGCCTCCTAAAGGGCTGGGATTACAGGCATAAGCCACCATGATAAGGGTTTAAAATATGGTACACCTAGGTAAGGGTTCATTGTCCAGGTTAAAGAATGTGAGGGACCTTTGTTTTGATTCTCTTCTTTAATGTTTAGGTAGCTAATGATGGTATGAAGGAAACTTCTTTTGGTTGATGTTCTGTTCTTAGATGCATGTGGCAGCTGTGTATCTGGAACCATGATGGGAAAAGTAACAATATCATTAAGGACATGAGACTAATATGAACATATGAACATCTAATATTTTATGTATGATTATATGTCAAAATATTCAGTACAAACAAGAGACACCAAAGGCTTTCATTCTCCAGGAATATAACCCTAATTTATTTTTGTCATTGGTCAGAATATTTTTGTAGTTACATAATAGGTATGCAAGTGTTTCCTCTGCCTTCAAACTTTGTATCTAACTGAATGAATTTTTTAAAAATCCACTGTAGACTTTACTTTAAAAACATTATAAGAACATTTCTACAAATGTAATTGTTATTTTTTTCTTCACTAGAGATTCCTAACTATGTTTCTTCCTTGTAGTACTTTCCTATTTCATAAGCTTTTTCAGGGTGAAAATGTGGAATCTCTTAATGTTTTTATTCTCTCATTCAAAAGTAGTCATTGATTCTAGACACTGCTTCCATGACAATGCCTGTGATTGTCACAGAAGGTAGGGAATGATGTCCTCAATAAATACTTGCTGTAGGAGGGAGGGAACAAATATGTGTTTGGATTCTGGCCCCACCACTTATAACCTATGTTACTTTGGCCAAGTTACCTGCAAACTGAGTGCCCAACAGGTATTGAGTCACTTTCTAAATATTGGTTAAAATAAATTTAAAGGACCCTCCCAAGCGTAATGTAAAGGTTCATCTCAAGATTCGGAGATTCATGTTCTCTCCCTGTTCTCTTTATGTTAATATTCAATAGGAATATATGATTCTTGATAATGAAGAATTGTCAGTACAGAAAGAGTCTTCTTTTCATTATAGAATAACTCTTCGTTAACTATTCTCATTCTAAGATAATATTTTTTTTTCATTGTGTATATGATTCATTGCTTTCTACCTAGGAAGGATTATTTTTCTATACAGAGTCCTGTTAGGATTATTCCTCCATGTTCTGGATTGCCAAGGCCTATGTCTGGCACCTTGATTGTAAAGCGGCTTATGGAAAGTAGCACTCTCCATGGCATTCCCAGATCTTAAAACAAAACATAACACAACGAAACCTTTATGTATCCTAGAAATGTAGTATCTATAACTGACTAATTCTTCTCATCAATAAGACTGGTGTGTTAATGTAGGAACTAAATTACAGTAGGCCCAAGGAAGGAACAATTGTTTGGTATCTTTGTGGATATTCAGTTGCTCATATTCAGTGGGACTGCCTCTAGGCTCTCTATTCTGTTCCATTGATCTATTTATCTCTCCTTATGCCAGTAGTGTCTTGATTATCGAAACTATAAAGAGAGCCTTGAAACTGTATATCCTAAAAACATGTATTTAACCTTATAAACACTGTTCTCAAGACTGACCTAAGAAATGCATACTGGGCCTGGTGTTTGTTGTTAACATCACTTTTGCTTTCCACCTGGAAAGGATTCTTTTTTTTTTTTTTTTTTTTTATGAGGGAGTCTCACTCTGTTGCCAGCTGGAGTGCAATGGCATGATCTCAGCTCGTTGCAACCTCTGCCTCCTGGGTTCAAGCTGTTCTCCTGCCTCAGCCTCCCAAGTAGCTGGGATTACAGGTGCGCATCACCACACCCAGCTAATTTTTGTATTTTTTTAGTAGAAACGGGGTTTCACCATGTTGACCAGGATGGTCTACAACTCTTGACCTCATGATCCACCTGTCTTGGCCTCCCAAAGTGCTGGGGTTACAGGAATGAACCACCGCGCCCGCCCAAGGATTCTTTTTCCATACTGAGTCCTGTTAGGATTATTCCTCCATGTTCTGAATTGCCAAGGCCCGCGTTAGGTAATTCAGGATCACCTGTTTAAGCTTCTCTGGTTTGGGGAAGAGATTTCCCAGTATTCACAAGAACCCAAATATGGGATCTGAGGGTCTGTCTAACCAGTTAACTTGATAAGAAACTGCCAACCCTTTGTCCAAAGTGGTTGTGCCAGTTACACTCTCACCAAGAGTGAGTATATGTATACTCCACATCCTCACCATTATTTGGTGGCATCAGTCACTTTCATTTTAGCTATTTTTTTTTTTTTTTAGACGTAGTCTCACTCTGTCACCCAGGCTTGAATGCAGTGGTGCAATCTCAGCTCACTGCTGCCTCCACCTCCCAGGTTCAAGCAGTTCTGCCTCAGCCACCTGAGTAGCTGGAATTACAGGCTACAGGCGTGCGTCACATGCCCAGCTAACTTTTGCATTTTTATTAGAGACGGGTTTCATCATGTTGGCCAGGCTGGTCTCGAGCTCTTGGCCTCAAGTGTTCCACCCGCATCAGCCTCCCAAAGAGCTAAGTTTACAGGCATGAGCCACTGCACCCAGCCCATTTTAGCCATCCTGATGGGTATGTATGATACCTTGTTGCAGCTTTAATTTGCCTTTTTCTGATGATTAATCATTTGAGTACTTTTTCATGTACTTATTGGCCATTCCTTATATTCTCTGCAAAGTGCCTGTTTCAATCTTGCTCGCTTCTAAATTGTTTGCCCTCTTATTACGGAGTTGTAGGAGTTATGTATATATTATGGATACAAGTTCTTTGTTAGATATATGTTTTGAGAATATTTTCTCTCAAATTGTGGCTTATCTATTTATTTATTTTTTTTACTGGTAACTTTAATGAGCAGAAGTTTTTATTGTTGACAGTGTCCAATTTGTCCATTTTTTTCCTTTATAATTATTCCTCTTGATCTTGTCTAAGAAATATCTCCCAGGCTGGGTACAGTGGCTCATGCCTGTAATCCCAGCACTTTGGGAGGCTGAGATGAGAGCATCACCTGAGGTCAGGAGTTTGAGACCAGCCTGGTCAACATGGTGAAACCCTGTCTCTACTAAAAATACAAAAATTAGCTGGGCATGGTGGCATGTGCCTGTAATGCCAGCTACTCGGGAGGCTGAGGCAGGAGAATCACTAGAACCTGGAAAACAGAGGTTGCAGTGAGCCAAGATCGCACCATTGCACTCCAGCCTAGGCGACATAGTGAGACTCTGTCTGAAAAAAAAAATGAGAAATCTCTGTCTTCTCCAAGGTCACAAAGATATCTTCGATATTTTTTCTAAAAATTCGGTAGACTTTGCTTTTACATTGAGGCCAGTGGTCCATCTCTAATTGTTCTTTGTGTACACTGTGAGATAGGGGTCCAGGTTTATTGTTCCCCTATAAGGCTATCCAGTTTCAGTGCCATTTATTGAAAGATTTATCTTTTTAAAAATTATTTTGTATATTTATGGCTATTCAATTACTCATATGAGGTGGGACTGTCTCTAGACTCTCTATTTTGTTCCATGGATCTATTTGTCTATTCTTACACCATAGTGTCTTGATTATTGAAACTGTATAGAGAGCTTGAAATCAAGCAACCTAAGTCTTCTGACGTTATTCTTTTTCAACATTGTGTGGTTTCCCATGCAGCCATCCAGGCAGACTTCAGGGTTGCCACATTTCAGCAAAAATCTTTAGTGTAGAGCCAGGTACAGTGGTACACACCTATAGTCCCATCTACTCGGGAAGCTGAGGCAGTAGCATTGTTTGAGAGGCAGTAGCATTGTTTGAGCCCAGGAATTCAAGGCTATATTGTGCTATGATTGTACCTGTGAATAGCCACTGCATTCCAGCCTGGGCAACATAGCAAGATCCCATCTCCAATTTAAAAAAAAATTCTTTAGTGTAAAGGTCAGCTTTGATACTCATTCACTTTGTAAATGTCCTTCTTCCACTGTCTTGACTTCTGCAGATTCTTTTATGTATATATAAATAATATAATATATAAAAATAATGTATAATATAAATAATATATATTATATATTTATGTAAATAATATATATTATATATAATATAAATATATTAATATAAATATATATTATATATAATATAAACATAAATATAATATATAAATATATGTTAAATAATTTGATATAAATATATATTATAAATATAAATATAAGTATAAATATATATAAATATACATATTTATATTATATATAATATATACATTATATTATATATTTTTTATATATAATATATATAATACATAAAATACTTAACATTTGTTTAAAGGTACTCTAAAAATATTTTATCCAGCTTTTCACTTAAGGTAGTAGTCCAGGGTAACTATTATGTCATGGTGCTGTTAACAGAAGTCAGTTATAGCGATTTTTTTTTTCCTCATTTGCATTTATCTATATCTTTAAAATCCGCTACAATAATATATGTTAATTGAATAATTCAAAAGAACCAGTAATGATAATTACAAAATTTAGTAACTGTTTTATTGGTTTTGAATCCTTCAGACCACTGGAATGCCCCACCAGCCCTGTGGCTAATTCAAAATATGGCCCAGAGTTGTCATTCCTTCCAAAAAATCATTTGCCAGTGAGGATATGGGCCCCAAACATTTTGACCTTCACAGCGTTAACATTTAATATGTTAATAATTAATATTCATGTGCTGTTGCAATTTGTTCCCTTGCAGGGATGGTCTGCCGAAAACCAACCGACCCAGTCGACTGGCCACCGCTTGTCCTGGGACTGCTCACTCTGCTGAAGCAGTTCCATTCCCGGTACACCGAGCAGTTCCTGGCGCTGATCGGTCAGTTCATCTGCTCCATGGTGGAGCAGTGTACAAGGTACAGAAGACCGACCATGACTACAGAGGACTTCATGTCACAAAGCCTAACTTAAACCTCGCATTGCCAAATTCCTCTTCTTATTGCCTTCATAGAGCTGGGAAATGGTTGCTCACCCTTCTCTGTAAAGCAAGTCAGGGCGTATCTCCTTGTTTAGAGCAATTATGACTGTGCCCATCCTTAGTCACCTTGCCAGGGGAACTCCATTAGGTATACTCACAGTGATTTTCCAGGAGTGACTCAGGACTATGATTAGTAACTGCCATGGGGAAGAAACTGTAGCCCTGTTCCTCTGCACTCTTGGATCCAGCTCTTCGATCTCAGTGAGACCCTGAACTCCTGCTGGGCCACTGCCGGGAGATGATGATTCCACTCACTTCAGTGGGAGTCAGAGAACATGTCAGTGTCAAAACCTGGGCAGTGTCTGCCTGTAAAGAAGCAAATTTCACAGGAGTTGCTATTTGATACAGTACTTATAAAGCTTTAATTCCTGCCAGTTCTTTCTCCCTGCCCCTAAATGTGGCTTTTCTGGGATAAAGAAAAAAAAGTTATTTCCATGAGATGCTGGGTCCTGAGCCTCCTTCTCTGCTATCCTAAAGGGTCAGCCTGGCTAACCTTTTCTGTCATGTCCACTTGGTCATTTTTGCCACTATAACTTAAAAAACTAATTAACGTAGCTGGGCACAGTGGCTCAAGCCTGTAATCCCAGCACTTTGGGAGGCCAAGGTGGGCAGATTACTTGAGGTTAGGAGTTCAAGACCAGCCTGACCAACATGGTGAAACCCCATCTCTACTAAAAAAAAACCCACAAAAGTTAGATGGGTGTGGTGGTGGGCACCTGTAATCTCAGCTACTCGGGAGGCTGAGGCAGGAGAATTGCTTGAACCTGGGAGGCCTCTGAGGGTGCAGTGAGCCGAGATTGCACCACTGCACTCCAGCCTGGGCAACAGAGTGAGACTCCACCTCAAAAAAAAAAAAAATGAATAAAAGTGATCTTCTAAGTCCACACAAAATATTACTGACTCCTAGAACTGGAAATGACTTTTGAGGTCATTTAATTGACCTCCCACTAAGTGCGTGAGTGAGCTGTAAGACATCCTTGACATGCCATCATCCAGCTGCTGCCGGAACACTCGCCGATGGGGCTCTTGCTACCTCTTCAGGCCACACAGTCCACTGGCTAAGTGTGGTTCTCATTAGAAAGTTCCTGATTGTGATTATTAGAGCCTATGTCTCTGGATATTTTACTCACTGAGCTTTTCTCCACCCTTTGAAATCATACAGAATAAATGTAGTCTACCTCCTTTGCAACATTACTTCCAATTTGGTATGCCATCTGTCTTAGGTCTTCTCCTTGTTTAGATAAGCCCCTTCCACCTCTTCCTGATGTGTTGCAGTTTAGAGGTTACTCACCACAGCGAGTGACTTCTTCTGGGTGTTCCAGTCTGCTACTGACAATCTTAAAATGTGTCTTCAAACTTGTAGTGAGATTCCAAGCACAGCCCTCCCCTTGGTGCAGAGGGGTATTACACTTCTTCATTCTGGGCCCTCTGTGGACAGTAGAGCAGCTGTAATTGCAATGGTGGGTTTTTCGTTGTTGTTTGAGAAAGAGTCTGGCTGTGTCACCCAGGATGGAGTGCAGTGCAGATCTCGGCTCTGCAGTGATGGCTTCTTGACATCCAGTGCACACCAGTGGCTCATACTGATTTTGTATTCTTTCTAAATTCCAGTATTGCTTCCTCCCATGAGCTGCCATCAGTCTAGTTTCTCCTTATCTTAGTTAATGAACTGAACAACAAACACTGGTGTTTTCCTGGGACATATGTTTAGACTTGCTTCAAAACCATAGTTTTTAACAATTGAAAAATAGAAGAGAATTCAAAGATAAAATCTCAAAAATGAAATTGTAACAATCACAAAGTGAGGTCAGTTGACAAGGAAAGCAGTAGGCTCATAAAAACCTAGCGCATCTGGCTCAAGATCGGAGAGGAGGCGAAGGACTCCGGGTCAGGTGGTGTGGGGATGATTAGCAAGTAACCTCCACACAACTGGCTATCCCAGTCATAGCTCGCTGCTCTTTCTTCTTCACTAATGGCAGTAAAGGCTTAAGTGTGACTCAGTATGTTACTGGCAACCCTGAGGGTGGTGATCAGGCTACAGGATACCAGCTGTGGCTCAGGCCTTTGAATTTGCAGAGCTAAGTAACCCACGGGGCCTCTGTCCTTTCTCTTGCTCCAAGCAGAGCAAATACAGCCCTTGTCACAGACGGAAAGACTGAGAGCAGGGAGAACTTTTCTAGGTGCAGTCACTCTTAACCCTTCCAAAGGCAACAATTCATCAGCGAAATTAACCAATAATCTGTTAATAGTACCAAAAATTATTTTTTCGTTAGAAAATGCCAATTGGTACAGAAGTTGGAAATAGTTTTAACACCTAAAAACTCATTTTGATGTAAACAACAGGGAACATTAGCTCTATAAAGAGACTGGCATGTACTTTGCTTGTGTTCCCCGTTCTGGGATAGTCCTTGGGACTGTAGTTGCTGAATGAATAAATACATGAGTAAAATCCCATATGAAAAGTTGCTAGATGCTATATTTATTTGATACCCTGAAATAAGCAGGACATGCCAGGCACAATTCCAGATGCTGGAGATATGAAGATGAACACATGACCCAGGCCCTTGAGGAGTTGATACTCTTGTCGGGAAGCCAGCACACAATTGAAAAATTCAGAGGCTTGGAGAATGCTACTAAGTATTATGAGGGCCCCAGAGAATCAGGGAGGATCCCACAGGAGAAGAAGTCCCCAACCTGGGACTCGAACAATGTCTAGAAATTGACTTTCAAATCAGCGTGCAGGGATGGGAAACTATGGGACCTGCTAGGTGTTGAATCATGTAAACAGAGGGAGATGAGTCTGGGCAGATAGCAGGGACCGTGTTGTAAAGGCCCACGTAAACCATATAGAGAAGCTCACATTTACCCTATAGGGTAAGCTCCTGAAAATATGTGAGCAAGGTTAATGACTTGATGGGAATCAACAGCATGCTTAATGTTTTTGTTCATCTTTGACTTCATTAGATAATCTGTTGGTAATTTAGTCTTTCAGTATTCTGACCAAGGGCTTATTATGTGCAAAGCAGTTAATTGATTTCTCTGTTACAGCCAGAAGATACCTGAAATACCTGCAGATGTTGTGGGTGCCCTTCTGTTCCTGGAGGATTATGTTCGGTACACAAAGCTACCCAGGAGGGTAAGTGATAGATAATACAGAACAATATTGGCCGGGCATAGTGGCTCACTCATGTCTGTAATCCCAGTACTTTGGGAGGACAAGGTGGGTGGGTAGATCACGAGGTCAGGAGTTCCAGACCAGCCTGGCCAAGATGGTGAAACCTCGTCTCTACTAAAAATATAAAAACTAACTGGGTGTGGTGGTGGGTGCCTATAATCCCCGCTACTTGGGAGGCTGAGGCAGGGAATTGCTTGAATCCAGGAGGCAGAGGTTGCAGTGAGCCGAGATTGTGCCACTGCACTCCAGCCTGGGCTACAGAGACTCCGTCTCAAAAAAAAATACAATAGTAATGACCCAGTTGTAAAAAGATAGTAATAATAGTGGCCCTGGATTCATTGGGAGTGAAGTCCAATGGGCCATTCACAGCAGATGCCTCTGCATTTCTTGCCATTGCTCTGCCCCCAGCGCTGAAACGTCCCAGCCTTTTCCACCATGGGAAATGCCTTGCAGAGTTTAACACAATGCCCCTCCCTGTCTTCTTCCGCTCCACCATGTTCTGCTGTCAGCAGTTCACCTGGTTCAGGAGTTAAGTGAAATGGGCAAGCTAGGAGAATTCCATAAGTGGCCAGGGGAGAGAAAGAATCGTGTGTGGTTTGTTCTTTCTCTCTCCACTGGCCTGGTTCTCACAACAAGTACAGTTAAGTTCATGCCACAACTAGACGTGTGTGTGACCACTGTTTCCAAAAATGACAGGCTACCTTTTACGTGCTAAGACGTTCTTTCCTCTTCCCTTCTCATTAGTAATTCCACTTTGTTAAATTTATCTCAAAGTAGAGCTCGATACTGACATATAAAAGACTTTGAATAGATACTGAAGATCATTTCTGATTTTTAAAAATTAGTAGATTAGGAATCAAAGATACTTTCTTACAGCACGAGCCAAAGATACACTTTTAAAATTAACTAGCAATGTTAGTACTTAATAGCGAAATGCTAGTGGCATTCCCATTAAAACCAGGGCTGTCACGTGACATGACAACGATACAGACGCTCGAAACGACTTTTGTTATACAGGTGCGAGACCATAAGAAATGAAATGAAAATGAAATGCACTTTGGAAAAAAGACTATTATTTGAGATATAAGTCTTCCTTTTTTGTTTTATTTTTCCACAAGTTACTGGGGTACAGGTGGTATTTGGTTACGTAAGTTCTTTAGTGGTGATTCATGAGATTTTGTGCACCCATCACCTGAGCAGTATACATTGCACCCTGTTTGTAGTCTTTTATCCCTCATCCCCCTCCCATACTTCCCCCCAGGTCCCCAAAGTCCATTGTGTCTTTCTTACGCCTTTTTGTCCTCATAGCTTAGCTCCCACATATCAGTGAAAACATACGATGTTTGGTTTTCCATCCCTGAGTTACTTCACTTGGAAGAATAGTCTCCAGTCTCATCCAGGTCACTGCAAATGCTGCCAATTCATTCCTTTTTATGGCTGCATAGTATTTCATCATATGTATATCTTACAGTTTCTTTATCCACTCATTGATTGTTAGGCATTTGGGTGGTTCCACGATTTTGCAGTTGTAAATTGTGCTACTATAAACATGCATGTGCAAGTATCTTTTTCATATAATGACTTCTTTT